TGCTGGGATTCCAATTATTGGAATGTATCTGGACCCTTCCTCTGCTGCCATTAATGCAGCTGTGCTTACACACTGAGAAAGCAGCTTCAGGATAAGATCACGTGTTATTTCTGTTACAGCCAGTGGTGAACTGATGGCAGCTGTCAGATCCTCCAATGGCACACCTGTGCTACAAGACAGTCTCTGCAGGGACGAGCTATCAAGACCAAACCCAGCTACGTATTTTTTGACAATTCCAACCAGCAAAGCTACATCAACAGCAACAGAAAGCCCAGGAACTGGTACAGCTGCCACAGCTGCAGATTTAGTAGCAGTTTGCCATATTTGCGAATGGAAAGCCTCTTTCTTCTTGTTGATGATCTCCAGGTTGATGTTGGGCATGGCCAACAGCAGAGCATTCCTCTTGTGTGCAGGAAGTTCTCTCTCTAGGGTCTCATGGAGCAGATAGAAATCATACAGGTTGAGCTCAAAGCTGGACACCAGGAAGACTTGTGGAGAGTTCACACCTTGATCTCGAAGATCTGTGTCACAAACAGTATAAGTCAATAAGATATATGAAATAACACATCTTTTAACATTTTAAATCTTATATCAATACTTTTTTTCTTTGTTCATTTCTTATCAGTGGTGTGATGTCTACAGTTTGCTAATCAATAATTTACAACAAATAAATAACACATACAAATAAATAACATGGTCAATAGTTTTAAATTGCTGTCATGAAATATCTTAAAATGCGTGTGACTAGTGGCAAGAGAATGCTTCTCACACCCAACTGCTTCAATTAAAATATTGCCTAATTATGAGCAAATGTATAACTTCTCAAATATCAATCAGAAGATAAGGAGCCATCTGATGGTCACAGAGTTGCCCTTGTTGTCAACTGACGGCCGGTGTGTAATTCCTATATAGTCCTCCTGGTCAGTTTCAGGGTTTTTTAGTACTGTGGTAAAGCTGTTACTTTTAAACTGGAGGGATCAGTGGCAGACATTCACGAATAGTGTCAGCAGGGGGCATATCACAGCCAGACATGGTTTTATCAGAGGAGTGGGCATGGGGGTCAAAAAAGAACATGGTAGTCCTTGAGTTTTTGACAACTTCAGACACATACTGCTTATCAGCAGCAGAATTTGACTTTTAGTGTGTGTGGAGAAACTCAGCTTCAAATAAAAATGTGTTAGTTTACTATCTTGTTTTTGTGACTTATTTTAAGTGATTAAAATACAGTATTTAATCTCACTATTATTGTAAATCACTTACATTGAATGCACTTTGCCTTGATTCGTGAGTCCTTACTGCATTGAACTCCCTCTTGACTTCTTTCCTCAGCTCGTAAATCGTTGTCAATCTTTGAGCGAACATAGTAGAATTTTTTTCCCATCTTCTGAATC